GGCCAGCCTGGTCTACACAGTGAGTTCCAGGACAGCTGGGACTACAGGGAGACCCTGTCTCAAAAAGACCAAAAAAAATTGTTTTAAATAAATAAATAAATAAATAAATAAAAGGAATATAAAGAAGAAAAGGAGAAATTATGCTTTTCTGAAGAATTCACAAAAGTGGGCAGACTTACAGAGACCTACATGTCTGTGCTGGGTCCAGCTCTACCTTGTTAATCTTTAAGAAAGTCACTTACTGAGCTTTGTTATGGGCCAAATGCTATGCCATGCACCTGCCCATTTTATAACATAAAAGGCCTTCCTGGTAATCTTTAAAGGGCTGTGTTACTGTACCCATTGTAAGGATGGGTGAGCTGAGGCTCAGGAAGACTAAGCTACTCACTCACCCTGGTTGGTACAGGAGCCAAAACCTCCAGCTAGAACCCCTGCCCCTCCCATCACCATGGGCCTGCACATTACATGCACCTGAGCAGCCACTCATGTGGGCCATGTGGAACAGGCAGGGTGGGTCTGGGGAGCCAAGGTTCCTCCATGGAGTATGGGCCAAGCTCCTCAGCCTAGTAGGCAAAAAGGGCCATAGACAATAAGGTGAGGTCTGAGGCTACAGCTTAGTTGGTGGAGGACTTGCCTAGCGTGACAAAGCCATGGGTTCCATCCCCATAAAGCCAAATGTGGTTATACATATCTGTGATGCCAGTTCTTCATGAAGTGGGTGCAGGAGGATCAGAAGTTCAAGGTCATCTTTGGCTATACACTGAGTTTGAAGCCATCCTGGGCTACATGAGACTCTGTCTCAAAATAACAACAAAAATATCAAGATGGATCCTAGTCCTTCAGTCCAGGTCTCATCTGCTAGGAAGGACTTCAGTCACCCTCTCCATGCAAGGAAAGCCAACATGCTCTGAGCACAGACCACCTGTTACTTAGCCGTCAGGGAGCCTGGGGTACCTATCAGCCCTGGAGCCTATGCCTAGAACAGCCTGGACTCTGCCCATGTCCCTGCTCTGACTCTTACTGTGCAAACCTGGTTAAGTCAGTTCCTACCTCTGCACCTCAGTTCCTGATCTGTACAATGGGACAACAGGTGCATGATGGGGACTCAAAGGGAGCTAGTTAAGTACAGTGATTGATGTCACTATTGTGGGAATTACAAGGCTGGGGGGTGGTGTTTGCCCAGCTCTGCGTGTGCATGTGTGGGGTTGGGGGGACGGGGAGTGCATGCAAAGAGCAGTACCCTCAGAGATCAGAAGAGGGCAGTGGATCTCCTGGAGCTGGAGTTGCAAGTGGTAGTGAACCACCTGACACAGGTGCTGAAAACTGAACTTGGGGCCTCTGTAAGAGCAGTATCTGCTCTTAACCACTGAGCCAGTCTCCTGCCCCTATGTCATCATTTTAATAACATATTCTCAGTGTTGTAAGTTCATCACTACCCACCTGCAGGACATTTTCTTCTTCCCCAGTGAAAACTCTGTCCCCACTAATCACATGCCTCCGCTCTCCCCCACCCCCACCCCTGCAGCCACCATGTCCTCTGTCTCTACAAATTTGGCCACTCTAGGGATTTCCCATAAGTAGACTCACAGTACTTACCTTTCTGTAACTGGCTAATTTCTCTTGGAAACTTCGCAGAGTTCATTCATGTTAGAACATATGTCAGAATTTTTATTCCTTTTTTTTCTGTGGTCTTTTTGAAACAGGGTCTCCCTGTAGACCCGGGTGGCCTGGATTCGCTATGGAGACCAGGCTGGCCTCGAACTCAGAGATCCGCCTGCCTCTGCCTCCCGAGTGCTGAGATTAAGGGCGTGCACCACCATGCCCGGCTGTTCCTTTTTTAAAATAAGATTTTTGTTATTGTTGTTGTTGGGCATGGTGCTATGCATCTTTAATCCCAGCACTTGGGTGGCAGAGGCAGGCAGATCTCTGTGAGATCAAAGCCAGCCTGGTCTACATAATGACTTCCAGATAAGCTGGGGCTACAGGGAGAGCCTGTCTCAAAATGGAGAGGTGGAGAGATGGCTCAGTTGTTAAGAGCGCTTGCTGCTCTTCCAGAGTACCTGAGTTCAGTTCCTAGCACCCACCTCAAGCAGTTCACAACTGCCTATAACTTCAACTCCTGGGGATCCAATGCCCTCTTCTGACCTCCGAGGGCTCCTGTACACATATGTGCACACACTCACATAGACACATGCACATAAAGAAAAAGAAATAAAAATAAATTTAAATTTAAATTGTTTTATTTGGGGGAACATGGTATGTATGTATGCCACAGAGTGCATGTGGAGGTCAGAGACAACTTGTAGGAGTTGGTTCTGTCCACTACGTGGGTCCTAGGGATCAAACTCAAGTCATTGGCTTACCAGTAGGTGCCTTTACCAAGAGCCATCTCCCCAGCCTGATTTTCTTTCTTTCATAGCTGAATAGTGTTATTTCATTGGAATGAACCTCATTGTAATTTCTCATTATCTATTGATACA